ACTTTTTTAATATATATTTCTTGCCTTTAGACTATTTAGATATCTCCTTATTTACTTTTATAAAATATATACTAACTTATTTTTTAGTTCCCCTTACCTTACCTCTCTTTTAATATTACTATATATATATCTAGTTAGTACTAGTTCTTATAATCTATAGTTAGGCTTTCTATTTATTAATATCCGGATATTTTATTTTATTTTTACTTTATATATTTTATTTTATATACTTTACTTTTCTTTTATTATAAGTTAGAACTCAAATAGTATTTACTTTAAATACTTGTATTTTCGGATATATAAGACTCTTATAAATCTTTCGAGATTATAAACTAGCCTATTTTAGTTTAGGGAAGCTTTCTCGAAAGTATTCTAGGAATTATAGTATTTACTATAACCCTTTCTAAAGATTAATATAATATAGGTAATTCTGGTTTATTCTCTTTCTATAGAGCAAACCGCTGCCCTAAGTCTATATAAAAGTTCTAATTATTCTTTGAGTTAAAGTATAAATACTTCTTATTTCTATTAAATTAGATATAAAGAATAGCAGGCACCTTTAGGCTAGACTATAGTACTAGTTAAATACTAAGACTCTTCCTATATCTTATAAGATATTACTTATAGTTCGAGATATATTATATTTAATAGAGCTCCTATATCTAATTACCTTATAAAATAATAAAATATATTAGTATTATAATTAGAAAAGTTCTATTTTATAATCTTATCTATTACTTATAAGATTTTCTAGCTAATAAGTCTTAGCTAATAGCTAAAAAACTTATTAGCTATTTTATTTAAAGCCTCTAGAAGCAGGAAGTTACTCTAATAAAAACTTAGTATTAAAAAATAGATTTAACTAATTAATTTAAATAAAGAGTTTATAGCAGGAGTTTCTATATATAGGTAATTTCATATAATAAACTCAAGTCTCTATTTCTAGTTATATAAGTTATAATATATAATAAACTCAAAATTTTCTAGCCTATTAAAGCTTGAGTTATCTTTAGAAGAATTAGTAAGCTTTTCTAGATAGACTTATTAAGGCCTTGGTTTTTAAAAGTATTAGTCTAGCCTTCTTATTTCTCCCTTAAGTAATAGTTTGGCTTTTAGAAATTATATACAAATATCAGAACAAATAAGGAAATATACTATATATACTTTCTGGATAGATTAGAATAGAACCTATAGAATTCCCGTAATAATATTAAATCTATAATACTAGCTAGTAAAGACTTTAATAACTTTAATAAGACTTGAATTACAAGTCCAGCCCTTAGATTTCTCGCTTAACTTAAAGATTAAGTAGTCTATAATAGGTTATCTATTATGAAATATATTATACTCTTTTCCTAAAAAGTACCGGATACTAATAATAGTTCGAATACCTCAAAGCCCTTAAGACTTTTTATAAGTTTCCGGCTTTAGGGCTTTTTTATAGCTAGCTAATTATATAAAGTCACGTAATTATATAGGTTCGCTACTAAGTTAAAGTAATTAGTATTCTTATATATAAATATAATATAGTTCTTAGTATAGCTAGCTTTATTTATAATATATTTATATATAAATACCTATAATTTAATAATATAAATATAATATCTTTTTTAAATAAAAATAAAATCTTTATTTTAAAAATAATTAGATCTATTATTTTACTAAAATATAAGAGCAAAATATAATAGATATCTATTATATCTTTTTATTATAGTTTAGAACAGATTTACTAGTACTTATATAATAGCTAGTATAATAGTATAATTTGCTAGAAATAGGGAATTAGAAATAGATATAAAATAGAGCTAAGCTAGAATACTTAGATAAAAGAATACTAAAAGATCGAGATATTTTTTTCTTTTTTGCTTTTTAGCTTAGTATTTTTAATATATAAAATTTATTAAACTTTAAGCCTTTAATTATTATATTAATCCCGCTATTATAACTAGAATCTATTACTTCTTTACTAAAATATAAGAGTAAAATATAATAAATACCTATTATATCTTTCTATTATAGTTTAAAGTAAGAATAAAAGAAGTACTAGAATTTACTATTTCTTTACTAAATTATAGGAGCAAAATATAGTAGAAACCTATTATATCTTTCTACTATAGTTTAGAGCTAAGATAAAAGAAGTAAGTTTTATTCTAGAGATTTACCAGATTAGTAAGAATTTATATATTTAATAGAATTAGATTCAGTCTAGAATTAATTCTTTTTAGTATATAATTATACTAAAATATAAAGCAAATTATTATATTAATTAAATTATCTTATATATCTTCTTAAAATTTATAAATATTTCTTTACTATATTTTCTCTTATTATTAAAAAATAGATATACTAAAAAATAGCTTGAAATTCGCAAGTATAAATGTATCTATAGCTATCTTTAGTATACTTCTATTATTACTATACTTATTCTCTTATCTTAAGATTATTCTAATCTTAGTATAGAACTAATATTTATAGTTTAGTAAATCTCTCTAATAGTATTAAAACCCTTGAATTAAGGCATTTATTATACTTAATTACTACTCTAACTTCCTTATATAATAATTCAAGTAGCTAATACTTTAAAGAAATTCTGGTATGAATTTCTAATTCTCTCGGTTATAAATATTCTTAATAATAACCGTTTTACTATAAGTAGCTGCCTAATATAGAGTATTAGGGCAAGGAGCTAGATTCTAGTAACGGGATAAACTTTACTAAGAACCTAAAGAAGATTATTAAAGGCCGGATATTAAAGGAGAAAAGCTATTATAGGGAGAATTCCGAAATATTAGAGGGCATTCAGAATAAGTAGGGAGTTATTAGCTAAAAAGGCTTAATAATAGCCTAGTATATAATAAAAGGGATATAAAATTAAGTAATATATTATCTAATCTATTAGAAGCTATAGAACTTTCTAAATCCGTATTTATATAAAAGTCAGATATTCTATTATTAGATAAAGAAACTAATTCTTCTTCTTTCGAAATTAAGGACAAACCTGTAATAGAACTAGATTATTATTAAATATCCTAAAACAGGGAAATAAAGAAATCCGTATCTTATTAAAAAGAAGTATTTATAGATAAGAAGCTAGCTAGAGAAGTTTACTATTAAATAAATAAAGGTAAAATAGGCTAAAACTAAGGTTATTAGAAAAGAAGTAGAGGTTAAGACCCTAATCTAGATAATTATAGAAGAGAGCGAATTGAAATAACTATAATAAGTACTAGTAATATAGGAAGAGGCTAAGAAAGAGAGCCAGGATTAAGTAAATTAATAATAGTAGCTCTATACCGGAAAATAGATAAGTTAAAATATATATAGTTAGTATACTTATTAAAAAGAGAAATATTATTACTATTATAAATAGAGTAAAAAATAATATTAGTAAAATACTTAACCTAATAGATAGTATAGCAAGTATATCCTTAAGCTCGAATACTATAAGTATAAGCTAGAATAGCTAGTTACTACTAGATTTGCGGTAGTTAGGGGCTTAAGCTAATATAGTCTATAGGAACTTGAACTTGACCCTAAAGTAAAGCTTAGCTAAAGCTAAAATTAGAATTAATTTAAGGAATTATCCTTAAATAAATATATTTATTAGTTATTACTATTTTAACTTAGTAATACTTATATTAAGGGTAAAGTAGTATTTAAAGATATAAAAGAAGGAAAGATTAAGGCAGGGTAAGGAGGTTTTTTTATATTTATAAAGCAGGTATATAAGATATTTAAATTCGCCTATTTACTTATATAATTTATATTTAATATACTAAATTTTGGGAATATAAGTAAAGGAAATATATTCGGAATTTATTATAAATTATTATATTATTTTAGATAAACTAAATTAAGAAGATATTTCTATTTCTTAATATATATATCCCGAGATAAAAATATAGTACCTCCGTTTACTATATTTTGAGCCTATAGTAAATAAAGGTACTATATTTTATATACTACAAGTTCTATATTTTAAAGGTAATAAAGGAGTATTATATAATAAATTACTATATTAAATAATATAAAAGGCTTTTAATTATTATTCAAATATCGGAGGTTATACTTACTAGCTAATATCGCAATTTAATTATAAATTAGAAAGTAGTCTATTATATTAAAATAAGAATTTTCTGGCAAATTACTCTAGTTATAAAGTTACGGGATCTGGAGTAAGCAGGGTTAATAATTTAAAATAATTAAAACCTAATATCTCTAGTTCTACTAGTGGTTAAGAGGAAATATGTATTGCTACAAGCCTATAAGACCCTAATTTTTTTTGGACTAATTACGATATAACCAAATTTGTCTGGAAACGATAACGATAACGACGACGCCATTTAGAGAATATAATGCGTGTATTAGTGTGCCAATATATATTAATCTGTATATATTGGTGTATACAAAGTAATATATACGGGCACCTGCTACCGCCTGCTGATTTCGGCTAGTGTGGCCCCCATCGACACCCCAAATCGACACCGGGGGGGGGGTCGTTTTAGTCTTTCCCAACAAAAGGAGAGAGTGGAACCAACCCACCATCAGATATTTTCTCGTGGGTACCACTAGGCAATACCGAACCTTCGCTGCACCACAAAGTCTCAATTCCCGAATCCATCTCAATAACAAAACGCCCCAAAAGCAATGAAAGAATTGCCGAATTCCAGCGAGTGCAAAAAATGTCGGTGGTCCTGCAAGGCACAGCTCAAACGGCTTTGGCCTGTCGGCAGCAACCTCCGAACCCCACTTATCAGCCCTATTATACCCCAGGATCTCACCCTCTTTCAGCCCCGTCGCCGTGTGTACGTAGTACCGTGTGAATTTATCAAGTTACGTCTCCCCGCACCGCTCTCATCAAGGAAGATATCTCCGAGATAAGCACACCGAGGCTTCTTTCTTCCCAAGCTCGTGAAAATCCTTTTCAAGTTCAATTTTGCCCACATCTAAGAGATCTAGATGGCAAGGCGAGACGAACTCATCACTCCTCGGCGAGGGGGCTCGAACAAAGTGTGTATATTTGTAGAATGTTGATCATGAAGTAAAATACAGATGCACCCACCGAACGCCCGCTGTAGATGTGATATATACAACAACAAAGACAGAATATACAAGGAAAGCTGCGCAGGAAGGGGGAAGTTTCCTAATTCACGTGCCAGTAACCATAAAAAGTACCCCTCCAAGGACACCCGCCAGCCACAGCGTCGTCAGAATCCCCGCTCCCGCCCTATCCGCCCCTGTCGCAGGTGCAATAACCGTTGCGCTCTCATCACTGCTCCCGCTCCCCGCCGCCGCATTACCCACGCTCGTGCCTCCAGTAGAGTTCGTGACCAGCTCCGGCGCCTGCGTAATCAGATTACTCTGTATAACACTCAGGGCACTCATCTGCTGCCCCAGCCCATAATTTCCATCATACGTGGAATTGTCGGTCCAATGTTCGCCGCAGGTTGTTCCGTCTGTGCCGCCTGAACATTGGAGCGCGGCGGCTTTGGCGGAGGAGGCGAGGAGAGGGAGGGAGTAGGAAGATGTGAAGGGCGCGATTTTGGTAGTTGCGGACATCCACCGTGAAAGGTAGGCTTTGAAGGATTGTTGGTCGGTGTCGCAGTTTCCGACTGTGTTTACTTGCTCGCAGGCTTCTTCGTACATGATGCCGTTTTGGAAGAAGATGTTGGTGTTGTTGAGGAGGCCCTGGACGCGTTCCTTCCATAGTGAGGAGCCGTTTGTCTAGGGTTTGTGTTAGAAAGTAGGGAGGGGGAGGGAAGAGTGACGTACGTAGTTGTACATCATTGCTGCGCCGAAAAGGTAGATGCCTTGATTGTAGGAGAACTGCAGCTTGTCGATGCTCGTACAGTTCGTTGTGTCTGAAGTCCCGTCATACACGGAATAATCATCGCTCATCAACCCGACCCCTTCGACCCAATCCCACGTTTTCTCCGCCCAGTCAGCATAGCTGGAGTTTCCTGTGTATCGGGCCAGCCGAGCTGCGATGTTGAAGAGACACCCGTTGGCGATCGAGTTTTTGTAGTCGTAGCCTGTGTTGAATGTGAAGATCTGCCAGCGTAGACCTCCTTCACATGTACTAGTATCCCACCTCCCAACCATGTCGTTGAAGACTGCTTGCGCGAGAGCCAGCCATTGCGGCTGGTCTGAGGGTGGATTCGGATAGTTCACCTCGGCCGCGGTCATCGCTGTCATTCCCCAAAATCCCTGATCATCGTTTCCTTCTGTCTTAGTCTGGTTGGTGGGCATGAAGTCCTCGTTCGTACCAACTTGGGAAAGGATGGCTGCTGTAACGCTAGGATTGTATGATGTGTCATTTGTGTAATACCAGTACTCGACCATCGTGCCAAAGCAAGCGCCAGCTTCCCACCAGTAGTATGGTGATGGAAGATTTCCTGGGTTGTCTCCCGTGTGGTTTCCGGTATAGTAGCTCATCATTCCAAACGCAACTGTCGCGGCGGCGTTTTTGATCGAGTCTACCGTCGGTCAGAAACGATTTCGAGCCCACGAGATTCATCGCTTGCCTGTTGAAGTGAGGTCCAAATCAATCGCACCAACAATCCCACCCCACGAAGCACATATCGCAGCCCCATAGGCCAGCGCTCTTCGTCCCCTCATTCTCTGCCTCTCAATCCCAAACTCTCCCGTTCAAACAATCTTCGAGTACTCAAGTCTCGAATCGAAGTCCGTATCTCAACCGATATCAGGAACAACAGTGATAGTAACAACTATAACTGCAGCAAGTACTGTACCTTCCAAAACTTCCAAGACCTCTCAACCGGAACTCAAAAGTACGGAAAATAAGGAAAGGGAATCACCCACCCATCGAAATCTCCCATCTGATACACCAGCCCGCTCCACCTACCTAACCACGGGAAACGGCAAACAACGGCTGCCCCCACCAGCGCCAGCCCGATTTCCCATCTCAAACACCGTACCGAAATAGAAAGAAAGACCTACCCGCTCCATCCCGTTGGCTGGATCCCTTTCTCTGACCAAGAAAAAAATACCCGTCGAGGACTTTTTACGAAGAAGAGTGGAGTGTTCCCCACAAGATGGGAAAGCTTCGACGCTGCTTCGTAACACGGTACGTCATCACGTACACAGCCCAATCTTTGAGACTGTGACTACGGCCTGGGGATGAAACGGGTGCTGATGGGAGAGGAGGAGGGTATAAGATGAGCCAAGTTCCATCGCGTGCTTGGCGGCGGCGGTAGCATTGCTTGTTCGGACTACGTGGTTGCTTGTGTTGAGTTGGTTTGGAGGATGGAGGCTGGAACGAATAGGGCCCGAAGAGGTGGGTCGCTTGATTAAGGGACCCGACGTTCTGCCGAAAATATATCACGTGAAGGTAAGGAAAAGGGGTCGGCGGTGCCAGGAAAAAGTAAAACGACACCCCCCCAGGTGTCGATTAGGCATACCGATGGATTTTAGAGTTTTAATAATGCTAATTAGTTGCTTGTGCTTACTTAAGCCTTTTTCTCCAATCAGATTTCTTAATATAGGTATAAGTTTATATCTAAGAGCTCTAGTTCTGGGGCGTGGGATAAGCGAGTCGATTATTGTGTACTGTACGAGGCAAATAAGTTCCAAGTGCTTAATCGCTAAATTTTCAGGCTCTCTTAAGGCCTGAAAAATTTCAACATATCTTATCTGCTTTAAACTTTCTTAAATTTACTAATTATTATATAATAAAAACATTATATTCTATTAGCTTATAGCTAGACCTTTTATAACATGAAACAATATTAAAATTATACTAATTCTTTATATTGTAAATTGAACTTAAAGGAAAGTTGGATTTTTTGGTGTACCTGTAATTTAAGTTGTCTGGCCCCTAATCGACACCCCGGGGGGTGGGGGGCGTTTTACTTTCTCCCCTGCGCTCCGCACATTCACATCGACAGCGCACGTTGCGAGAAGAACCTCGACCACTTCTTTATACGCAGACTCCGACGCGCCCCCACAAAGGAGTTACCCCACGAATATTTCGCTTGTCTGGAGGTATGTGTTCAGCGACAAGTTGACGGACAGTTGCGGCATCTCCATTTTTGGCGGCATTGTAGGGGCATGAGGTATTAAGCCATCGCTCTTTGTCACTACCAATGCTATCCCATTGATCTAAAAGACCAAGGACTGGTTCCTGCTAGTAGCAGCTGCCTCAATCACACCGACAGTAACTTTGATGGTAACAGCTCGATGGAGTAGTTGAACCACTTTATAACTTATAAACCTATTAGAAGCTACCTCTTTAAGGGTCTCTTCAGTGATCTTAACCTCGTTACCGTGCCGGTTAAGGAGTAGCGCCATTAACTCTTGCTCCAGTTCCTAGCTGCTGCTATAACCATCTCCTCAGTAATCTTGACTTCGTTGCCGCGCCGGTCGAGGAGCAGCGCCATTAACTTTTTAGCACTATATCGGTTCCTAGCTACTGCTATAACTACCTTCTTAGTAATCTTGATCTCATTGCCGCGCCGGTTCAGGAGCAACGCCATCAACTTTTTGCTACTATATCGGTTCCCAGCTGCTGCTATAACTACCTCCTCAGTAATTTTGACCTCGTCACTATACTAGTCGAGGAGTAGCGCTATCACCTCCCGGCCCCTTCTCCCGTACCCAGCTGCCTCTTTAAGCACCTCTTCAGTGATCTTGACTTCGTCGGCGCGCTGGTCGAGGAGCAGCGCCATCACCTCCTTGACATTGTCCCTGTTCTTAACTGTCGCTATGACCACCTCTTTTGTAATCGGGACATTGCCATTTTTCAGGCCTAGTAAAAGTGTCATTAGTCCTTCACTAAATGACCCTGCAACCTGGGCCATGTCTTCTTCTGCGATCTGGATGTTGTCTCTTATTCGATTTGTTAGACTTGTTATCATCTCTCGCTTCCTTACATTGGAATGGTCTTGATATATGTAGGATAACCCAGGGTTATCTATGCTGCTCGGCGTATTTTGGTGGTCCATCCCTTGATATATGTAGGTTGATGCTAGGTTGGCTATGCTGTTTAGCGTATCTTGATGGTCCATCCCTTGTACACGCTTTCTTGTCTGTATCACTTGCAAAAACAGATCCTCTGCCTTCGTCCACTGCTGTTGACTCTGGTATATCAACGCGAGGCTATCTATGCCTGCTAGGGTGTGGGGATTCCCCTTCCCAAATGCTCTCTCGCAGCCGTCTATTGCTTCTTGGAGCCTTTTCCCGATCCGAGCTTCTCACGGCCAGGACCAGGGAAGGCACAAAGTCACATGTGGGCTGCAATTATATGAGAGGACATGGATTAGCAAACTAAATCTCTGACATTGGAAAGACTAGTAATGTTCTGACAATTGTTAGTCGTAGCTCTTGTAAATACTGAAGAAATCGAAGCGTTAAAACGACTCAATTCGAGTTGTCCAACTCCAGCGGTGGATGCATTTGTGAAGAGTTCTGCCAGATCGTTCCGTATACTATCAACGGTAACCTGACCGCAGTTTAGAGTGCTGTAAGCGACGTCCAGTGCCTCGTACGCTTGGGCGTGTCAACCCCACCGTAATCCCAATTTAGGTTGCCACTGCTGCCACTACCATCTCGGCTCAACCCCCACCCCAATCCCAATTTAGGTTGGCACTGCTGCTAACCCGATAACAGCACAAAGGTCTTCCGAACTGCGTCTACCTCAGTAAACGCACCTCACTTCATCACACTCGTGTGACCAGCAACCTCCTCCACTGGGCGGTCTGGCTTCTATCTACGCATATATACATATCTGTCGACAGAAGTGCTCTGTTTCTGACTTTGGTATAAGGCTCTGACTCGGCGACCAACTATCCTCCTGTGTCTGCGCTCCCTAGATACCTGGTGGGCTACGACCACAATGAAGCCATGTTGCAACTCCGCTGGCCACAGCAACCGTAATTCCACAACCCCTCTGGTCCTCACAGGGAAAACCTTCCCAACAACCTTCTCTCTCGTCCAAACCGCCCCTTCCATACTCCCGTAACTCCAAAACCACGAAATCTCTCCAAGTCCCTCTGCCTCTCCCGTTTTATCTGCCTCTGCAATTTCCCGATCACGAGCAAATCCTTATATCTCTGCTTAGGATCCTTATTCAACACCTCCCCAGTATCTCCTGCTCCGCTCGACACCAAGAAATACATAAATAGTATAAATAATAAGCCGCCAACACCAGCCAACGGCCATAGCACCCGTAGTCTCCGCAAATCTTCGGCGTTTATAGGGAATAAATTAACAGAAGCCTTACTACTATACCCAATAACCTTTATATAACAAAAACAATTATTTACCTATCTAACTTGAAGCTAGATAATCGTCCCGATTAAGACAAAGGCAAATGAAGAGTTCTTAATAATAATCTAATTCCAAAGCTTTTATATAGATTTGATCCGAGAATAAAGAAGATAGTTTAAAGAGAAACTAAGGAACTAATATAAGGTAATAATTATCTATACCAAATACCGGTACCCGAACCCAAGAGTTACTAAGTTAAAATAGGAGAGAAAGAATACGGGAAGATATAAACCTACTATTACAAAGGCAATTAAGTAAAAGAGAAATTACTATAAGCTCTTAGTATATCTGAATAAGAATAATCTTTTAGGGAATCTTTTCGTAATTAAGGAAGTAATATTAATTAATTTTATCGGGCGGAAAATAATATTTATTTCTATTATAGGTGTAATACTAGGCTAATCCGCAATATTAGAAGAAGGAAATAGAATTAAGAATCCGGTTTGGCTGCTTTAAATAGTATTTCAGGCCATATCTCTATAAAATTAGAGAGAGGGAAAAAGATCTAGGATCTAAGAATAGTTACTAAGAGTTTTATAGAGCTATAGAATTACTTCTACTATATCTAATAAAGAGTTAAATACCCTAATATCTCTACTAAGCTTGACTAGTAGTATATAGTAGGAAAGTATTAAAATAATAGTAATTATATATAATATTTAATTATCTATTTTCAGAACCCAAGTGCGGGTATATACTATAGAGAGAGTACCTAGTATACCTAGAATAGTAATTCATATTTCTATCTTAAATCAAGATCGATTTGCTATTATATTTCGACTTACTTAAAGAATTACCTTAATATTTGTATTACTAAGGTTTATTTCGGGCCGTTTTAATAATTACTTAAAGCCTATCGGGGGTAGATATCTCTAGCCAATTTCTTTATAAGCCATCTATATAACCGTAATAGTATAACGGCTGGTATTACATGATTGGTTTCAGCTAAAGGGGTTGGTTTTAGCTAAGGTTCCAAGCTATAGTTCAAACCAAGCTCGCTTCTAAAGCTCGGCGTTTCAGTGGTCTTAGCCATTCCTACTTATCCACTGCCACACCTCACTCCTGTCCTCCTTAGCTTTAAATCCTTAAGATATTGGAATTATTAATCTTTGAGCCTCGTTCCATTGCTCTATTCCTGCCGTTACAAATAGCTTCTAGAAAAGATATTCGGAGATTATTTATAAATAATTCCAGGCTATTAGGCAATTATAACTTATGGCTAATTCCCTTAGCTTTATTAAGGAGGCAATAATTAACCTCTTGGCAAATTAATATGTACTATATACTATTAATTAGATCTCCTAAAAGACGGGTTATAACCTGGATCGAGTTCCGAACGGATAGAGGTGGAAAGTAAAAGCGGCCAATTAGCATAACGGCCGGTATTACCCAGAGCACTAATCGAGAAAGGGTATCTTGAGTACTCTAGAGCTGGGAGCCCGTACCAGCGTATTATTTATAACCGATATAATCGAGGAGAAGTGGTCTCTGCAGGTCTAGACCTGAGAGCCAGGTGAGGTGGATCTGAGAAAAATTTGCGGAGGTGACGATCGCTATACAAGTATCGAAGTTACGAGCCCAATCTCACTAGTCTGTGCGTACAGAGCATTTTTCAGGCAGATTCAGGCATCGCGAATTCGCTTATAGGCTTGCCAAAACCAAAGTCTACGAAATCACTTAATGATTATAAGACGATAACAAATAATTACGACTTGATGTCTGGCGCCTGAAAAGTAAAGTAACTAAAGTATGATTTCATTAATTAATTCTTAAGAATTTAAAGGTTTGAAATTTTGAAATATTACTAAAATGCCCTGAACGCACAGACTAGTGAGACTGGGCTCGTTAGTGCCCGGACCTGAAAATGCGTTGCCCATTGTGGGAACGGGATGATAGATTGGCAATTATAGTAAACAAAATTATGATCAGTTCTCATGAGGTTAAGGAGAACGTGAATGGGTTGAGAGAGGAAATTAAGTTAGGAGAGAGCGCTTCTGTATTTGAAGCCCCTTAAGAAGCTTCGAGGTCTTGCATCTTTCATCTTGCAAAAACAACGTGCAGGAAAAGAAATTTAGGGTGGAGAAACCCAACGAATATTTTGAGTTGGAATTGGAATAAGTCTGGGAGTGGTGGTTATATTTACGGTCAGGCTTTCAAAATGTAAGGCTGTCGAACCGCAGAGGGCTTCGCGCTGTGGCTGCTGGGCGGTTTTACCACATCTCAATTCAGTGAGTCGGGAAGACTTTCTTGTACTTTGACTCCTCCGGTGCCTCCACCGCTTTGCACTGAATTCGCGCCCTCGCCGCGGGAGCCGAATTTTGCTCTATTCCCAACGCCAGCGTTGGTGTGGGGTAGCGGACTTAGTCATATGAGCAGTTCCGGGCCGCAGGGAACTGTAGGCAGTAGGACTGGGTAATATAATCAGTTCCCGGTTCTAGGGAACGGGTAGGTAGCATTACCTCGGTAGTCGAGCGCAATTTTTTTTTTCGTCGTTCCAAGGTCGGTTAGTAAGCTCGCCGCTTCTACTCAGGCGCTAATCACCCTCGGCTCACCCTCTCCTCGCCCAGCTTACCTGAGTAACCTGAGTAACCTGAGCAGCCCCTGAATAGCCCCTGAGCAGTACCCACTTCTCACTCATATATTTAATCTCTAATTAGGCTAGATATAGACTAGGGCCTTTTATTTTTATTTTTGTCAAGTTTTGGCAATAATTTCTAGAGAGCCCAAATAAGCTCCTAAGGATCTCAAACTAGATTCTTATAAAAATAGATCTATATTATATTATAGGTAATTACTTATAATAATAAAATATAAAAATCTTATTTAAGAAAAGAGATTTGCTATTATTTTCTATAAATTCTCTTTCTATTTCTATTTATAACCTGAATTTCTTTTTTCTAATTTAATTACTAAACTATTTCTAATTTTATTATTTTAGATAATATTATATATTTTATATTACTTTATTTCTTTTTATTTCTTTATTTTACTTTTATTATTATATAATTCTTTATAATATTAAAATATAAATTACCTAAAAATTATTTTAAGAAAGCCCGTAAAAATAGCTCTAAGAAATAAAAATACTTTTATTACTAGAAAAGAAATTAAGAAAATACTCTAATTATATACTTTAAAAAAGTATTACTATTATAATTCCCAAATATCTAGTATCTGAGATATCTGGCCAGATGCCTTCTAAATACACGTAATATAACTACTTTACTAAAGAAATATACTTGAAATATATTAGAAATATTTAGAAGACTAAGTTCTTTCGGAACTAGTATATTATAGAATATATATATTTCCTTATAGCCTCCTATATTCTAGTTTTCTCTTTTTTAGCTTTAAATCATTTTTATAAGAGATTTTTTATTTTGCTTTTTAAATCCTAAATATTATACTTATAATAGTATTTAAAGCTTACTTTTTTTAATTCTATAAAGAATTTCAAATAAACTAATTTAGTACTATTAGAAATATAGGTATTACTAAAATAACGGAACTTTAGAATTACAAGTAATAAATTCTAGAATAATAAAAGCAAAAAGCTTTGGAATTTTTAGAGAAATCAGGTATTTATTTATAAATATATATTAGTAATATATTAGAAATTCTTTTAAAAATCCCGAAAAATAAAGAACCTTATATAAAGGCTATTTTTTAATTAAGTTCTAGAATAATAAATACCTATTATTCTTAAGCCCTATTTTATAACCTTATAGGCCTTATATATATACTAGTAGTAAAACTATTAGAAAGAATATAAAAAAGAAAAAGTATAATAAATTAATTTCCTAGAATATTATATAATCCGGAATAATATTAA